CCGGTCTTTGAGAATCTTCTCTTGAGACAGCCCTCTTTGGTTCCACAACTCTTCCATCCACCTTGTGTGGCCTTGCATTCATGGCTGCATCTACCTCCTCCACAGTGGCATACGTGACAAAACCCAAGCCCCTGGAGCGCTTGGTGTTTGGATCTCGCATTACCACGCAGTCTGTGAGTGTTCCCCATTGCTCAGAATGGCTCCTCAGGCTCTCATCGGTTGTTTCAAAGCTCAACCTTCCAATAAAGAGTTTCCGCAGCTGTTCCAGCTCTTTGGGAGACTCGGACTTAGACATGACGGCAGTGAGAAGAGAGAGTTCAACGATGCTTCCCTGGCGGCGTCCACAGGCAGAAAGCCGTCTTAACTTTTCTGACAACCCAATAGTTTGCAAATATTTTCTCACACCCTGTGGATTGTGTCGTTATTTATTGCTGCTTTTGCTGTGCAGGAGATTTTTAGCTTGATGTAATCTCACTTATCTACTTTATTCCCACAGAGGTTTTTGTCTTAGGGCACTTGTGGGGTGAGGGTAAGACATAGAGATAGTGAGAGGGAAAATGAGAAATCACCCCCATGTGTTTCCTCTTGGACATACACACACATGTGCCCGAGGTGATTATTAAATCATAAAGTCCAGGACTTGAACCGTGGTTGACCATGTGGGAGTCCAGTAAGTTACTGCCATGCCATCTGCCGGCCCCATTATCTGTTTTTGTGTGTGCGTGTTATTGTCTTGCCTTATGGGGCGTATTCAAGAAAACTTTGCTCAATCCAGTATCTCAAAGTATCTTATCATTTTGGATTTTATGTAAGTCTTTAATCCACTTCAAATTAATTTTTGTAAATGGTGAGAGGTAGGGAGTTTAGTTTAATTTTTTTGGAAGTAGATATCCAGTTTTTCTAGTATCTTTGTTGAAAAGTGTTTTCTGTGCTGGATTTTCTTATGCCCTTTGTCAAAAATCAATTGTATGTTGTTGAGTTTGTCTGGATTCTCTGTTCAGTTTGTGTGTTTTGTGTCAGTGCCATGCTGGTTTAGCTACGTTGGCTTTGTAATATATTTTGAAGTCAGACAGGGAGATGTTGCCAACTTTATTCTTTTTGTATAATATTACTTAGGCAATACTGAGTATTTTATGATTCAAGACAAATTTTATGTTTTTTTTTCTATTTCTCTGAAGAATGTTGCTGAGATTTTAATAGAAATTGAGTTAAATTTCTATCAGTAGATCACTCTGGGTAGTCTACATTTAAAATATATTGATTCTTTGAATCCATGAACTAGGGATTTTTTCCCATCTTTTGTGTCTTTTAAAATTTCTGTATTTTTAGGGAACCAGCAGTTAGCGTAATGGCTATGTCGCTGGACTCCCACGTAGCCGACTGCGGTTCGTGTCCCGGACCCGGTGGCTTAAAACTCACGCCGGGCGCGTGTGCGTGCGTGCCCAAGATCCCAAGAGGAGAATGGAGAAGGGATTGTGGCGTGACCATCCCCCCTGGGGGGTGATTTCTCGCTTTCTGTCTCTATGTCTCTCTCTGTCTGTCTGGCGAGCGCACGTGCCCTACAGTGAAAATCTCTCCCCCCCAAAAAAAAAAAATTTCTGTATTTTTAAATAATTTTCAAAGTAGGGAACTTGTACTTCTTCACACACATGTGCGTGTGCACTGTGTATAGATAGTGGCTACTGTAAATTGAATTAATTTCTTAATTTCCGCCTCAGTTCACTCCTTATTAGAGTACAAAAATGCTATAAATTTTTGTATGTTGGTTTTGTGTCCTGCAACTTTGCTTGATTTGTTCATTCCCTCCAAGAGTTTTTTTGGTGGATTCTTCAGGTTTTCCTGTGTTTATAATAGTGTCATCCACTTATAGGGACAACTTATCTTTTTCCTTTCCAGTTTGGATGCCTTTTATTTCACCCTCTTGTCTGATCATATTTGGTAGAATTTTGAAGCACTATGTTGAATAATAGTGGAGAAAGCAGACCTCCTTGCTCCAGTTTTGACAAGAAAAGCTTTCCACTTTTCTTCACTGAGTATGATGTTAGCTGTGAGTTTGTCATATGCAGCCATTAGTGTCTTAAGAAATGTCCCTTTGGAGGTCAGCAGGTGGCATGGTGGTTAAGACACTACACTTCCTCATGGCCTACTACAGTTCAAGTCCTAGACCCGGTGGCTTGAAAATCACCCTGTATACATGTGCATGCATGCCCAAAGTCCTGAGAGGAGAGTGGAGGAGAAGGGATTGCTCTGTGGCCATCTCCCCTGGGGGATAATTTATCACTTCCCTCTACCTGTCTCTCACTGGTGAGTGCATATGCTCTTTGACAAAAACCTAAAAAATAAAAAAATAAAAAAAATGAAATGTCCCTTCTCTACCTATTTTGTTAAGAACCTTAATTCTTAATTATGGAGGTTGTTGTACTTAATTAAATGCTTTTTTATGTCAGTTGATAGGATCATATGATTTTTGTCTTTCTGTTTGTTAATGTGATGAATTACATCTATTGTTTTGTGTATGTTGAAACATCTTTGCTTCCCTGGGATAAAACCTCCTTGTTCGTGTTATATAGTTTTTTTAGAGAGAGATTTTTGCTATAGGGCATGTGTTCTTGCCAGAGAGACAGAGACAGAAAGTGAGAAATCACCTCTTGGGGGATGACCATGTTGCAGTTCTTCTCCTCCATTTTCCTCTTAGGATTTTGCCACAAAAGCAAATATGCTAAAACAGCATGAGTTTTAGCTGCTGGGCCTGGGACTTGAACTGCAGTTTATTACCTTGAAGTCCAGCGATGTAACCATTATGCCATCTGTTGGTCTCTTGTAATATCTTTTTAATGTATTGTTAGATTTGATTGCTAATATTTTGTTGAAGATTTTTACATCTATATTTATCAAGGATATTGGTCTATAGTTTTCTTTTTTTAATCATGTTCTTTGTTTTGGTATTATGGTGATGGTGATTTCCCAAGATGAATTTGAGAGAATTCCCTCCATTTCAGTCTTTTGAAATAGTTTGAGGAGAATTGGTATTTTGAAAAAGGATTTGTAGAAAACAGCAGTGAAGCCATCACTGATTCAGTTATATTGGTATTTAGACTAGTCAGGCTTCTGAACCTTCTTGATCCAATCTAGGTGTGTTATATGAATCTAGAAATGTGTCCCTTTCTTCTACGTTTTCCAGCTTGTTACTACAGTTGCATGTAGTAATCCCCAATAGTCTTTTGTATTTCTGAGATATTCATTGTAATGTTTCTCTTCTTATTCTTGATTTAATTATCTTGGTCTTTTCTCTCTTCCTTAGTCTACCTAATGGTTTTGTCAATTTTGTTTATTCTCTCCAAGAACCAGTTTGTTTATGTTTTATTCTTTTGTTCTGTTTCATGTTTTCCTACTCTTAATTTTTTCATTCTTTCTCTAAATTTTGAGTTTAATTGGTTTTTGCTTTTCCAATTTTTAAAACTTTTTATTATTATTTTTTAATTTTACCAGAGTGGGTGGGGAGGGCAAGTGAGAAAGCAAGTCTCTAGGTCCGGAACTCAAACTGCGGTTGGCCATGTGGTAGTCCAGCTCACTAACCATTACGTTACCTGTCAGCCCCCTGCTTTTCTAACTCTTTGAGATGTATTATAAGTTAGTTTGTTTGGAGTATTTCTCTCTTTTTTTTTCTCATGAACACTGATTGTTCTAAATTTCCCTCTTAGTATTGCTGTCTTTGGTATATCCCAGAGGTTCTAGAGTCGTATTATTTTTTTAAAATTTGTTTTAAGAAATTTTAAGTTTCATTCTCAATTTCTTCAGTAGATTCTAAATCATTCAGGATAACAAGATTTATGTATCATAATTTATTGTTGGAATGATTGGGTTAATTTTATCTTTTCAGTCACTGGATAATTCTAAAGGGAGTACTGATAGCTTTGATGATAAATGATGTCTGCTTCTGTTGATGCCACTACCACTGCTGCTGCTAACGGATCTCCATTTTCCATTATTTTCTTTGTAGACTAAGTGGTAGCATAGGACTATTCTCTCTGTTATATAGTCTACAGTGAAGTGAACAAAATGTGATAGGGAGTGGCTCAAAGGTGTCCCTACTATCTTGCATAGCCTGGGAATTAGTGGATACCCATCCACTAAGTCATCAAGTTTGAAAGGCATTAGGTACCAGAGCTTGATTGTATATGAGAATATGATATTCAGATGTGTCCCAAAAAATTGTAGGTCTTCGTATAAAAGAGCTGTAGATGAAAAATCAGAACAACAACAAAGCACCTTGAGCATGGATTAAAGTAGAGCTTATTACTGTTTTTTGCATTTCTTCTTCTGTAATTACTTTTTTTTTTTTTTAAGGTTTTGGGGATAGGGTATGTGCCCATTCTGGAAAGAGAGAGACAGTGAGAGAGAAAGTGAGAACCCCCTGATGGGATGGCCACACCTCACTCCCTTCTTTTCTATCCTCTTCTTGGGATTTTGGGTATGCATATATATGCACTTGCCATAATTTTCAAGCCACCAGGTCCATGACTCAAACCACAGTTGATCATGTGGGAGTCCAGTGCCTTAACCACTATACCATCTGCTGGCCTCCTGTGATTACACTTTTAATGCTCTGTATATTTGAAAGAATGACTCTGGAGTTCAGTAACTGACTTTAAAGTAAGTATCAATGTATACTCTCTTTCAGATTTACCAAGAATTTGTCTCCTGACAAGATAAATCTAAGTACTCTTAAAGGAGAGGGTGAACTGAAGAATTTAGAATTGGATGAAGAGGTGCTCCAGAATATGTTGGATTTGCCAACATGGCTTGCTATCAACAAAGTTTTTTGTAATAAAGCATCCATTAGGGTGAGACTTTGATATCTTTAAAAAGCCTTTAATATTATTATTTAAAAAATTGTATCTATCTCTATTTTTTAAAAGAAATGTTTTAGTTCATTTTATAAAGAAGCATTTTATTGATGCATAATAATTAAGAGAGAAAAATACCTTTGTGTAAATGATTACATGACTGTGTGAATTATATATGTCTTTGAAACCATGGATTAATTTATATACTTTAATTTTATTAATATTTTAGGCAAAATTATTACTTTATTAATAAATTATTGCATCAGTTTAGTTCATATTTGAAGATATTTTTTTTCCTGTAGGATTTAATGTCACATGCAATAATTTAAATTTGTAATGAGCAAATACTATATTTCAAATTAAGATACAAGAACTGTTACTTCTTTTTTTTTTTTTTTCAAGAGGTTTTTGCTATAGGGCGTGTGCGCTCACCAGAAAGACAGAGATAGAAAGCGAGAAATCACCGCCCAGGGAGGATGGCCACGCCACAATCCCTTCTCCTCCATTCTCCTCTCAGGATCTTGGGCATGCACACACACGCGCCCGGCGTGAGTTTAAGCCACCGGATCCGGGACCGTAGTCGACTACGTGGGAGTCCAGCGACATCACCATTACGTTAACTGCTGATCCCAAGAACTGTTATTTCTTAATCTATACATTATAGTTTTATTTGGAATTTTATCCCTTTTCCTCATTTGTCTTTTTCTCATTTTGAGATTTTTAGAATTTTCTATTTACTATTATTATCAGCTCTACTTATTATAACAATTTCTGCTTGACTATAATAAATTGTATCACTTCTTGCTCTTAATAACGAGTTTTACTTTGAGAAAACTACTCAGTAGAAATACTGAATGACAATTCATTTCTTTTCTTTTCTTTTCTTTTCTTTTTTTTTTAGTAGAGATTTTCTGTTATAGAGTGCGCGTTCTCACAAGAGATACAGAGAAGGACAAAGAGACACAAAGCTAGAAAGAACCCTTCCAGGGGGGATGGCCATGCTACAGGCCCTTCTCCTTTCTCCTCTTGAGATTTTAGGGATGCATGCACATGTGCCTGGTGTGTCTCAAGCCTCCTGGTCCAGGAATTGAACTGTGATTGGCCATGTGGGAGTCCAGCAACATAACCATTATGCCATCTACTAGTCCTGAAAATTCATTTCAAAAAATTAAAATTTGGGGTCCTAAGAACAGATCGTGAAAAAGGTTTTTATCCTTCAGTTATCAACTTTACTGTTCTATCCTCCATAAACTCTAATATTTATACAGATCTAACATTTTTAATGCAGAGTATATTTGTATATTATTTATTTAATTAATTGTAGTTTTTTCTCTATGTTCATGATAGAGCACCGGTGAGAGGGATTTTTTTTAGGAGTACCCTCCACAAGATTTGGTCATGCTGTGATCCTCCTCCCTCCAGTCTGTTGGATTTTGGGCACTTGCACATATTCTTCTCTCCTCCTGGCTGGCCTCACACCCAGGCAGCCTCCCCTATACTGTGGCCTTGTGTTTCAGGCTAACCTGGCCAAGGATTTAAACTGGTTACCATGTCTGGTCCAGCTTCACTTGAGGAGCACATTACTGTTATTTCATGGAGCTGCCCCTGAACGTTATTTACTTAATATTGCCTACATTTTATGTTAATAGCCTCGTTTTTGTATTTCTTCTTATATAAAAAGATTGGTCAGAATTTTATCTTTTTTTGGGGAGGGAGAGGTTTTTGCTATAGGGTGTGTGCGCTCTCCAGAAAGAGAGACAGAAAGCGAGAAAACACCCCCCTAGGGCGATGGCCATGCTGCAATTCCCTCTTATTTAAAAAGATAAGACTGAAAAAAGAGATGAGACTAAAGAGACTTAGCTGCAATAGCATGGTCATCGATGCTTTTACTCAGCAGGCCACATGGAAGTCCCAGGTTCAATTTCCACCTGCTTAAAAATCTGAGCACAGTAGTCAGGTAGGCACAGCTACTCGGGAAACTTAGGCAGAATCATGATGTAAGGAGACCCTGTCTGAAAAACAATGACTAAAAACATATAGTTGGTAATATTCTGTTATATATATAGGCACAGCTAATTTAAAAAATTTGAATAAGTTGCCTTTATTATTTTGCAATTTAAGAAACTGTATTTGATATTGTATATTAAGAGAACATTTGTGTTGATTACTTCTTTACATTATTTTTTAAATGATTCATTTTAAAGAAAAAAATTTTTATTTCTAGATACCATGGACAAAATTGAAAACACATCCCATCTGTTTGGTGAGTTCTGAAACTGCAGTAAGCATTGATATATGCATATTACCTACTTTGTTAATGTCAATCTTTTGTTTCATGGAAATATAATCTCTCGATTTTCTACTAATTAGTTTTTTATTATATTTTGATGGCACATAGTTTTCTCAGGCCTTAAATGAGAAGATTGAACTTTACAATGGGAGTACCTTTATCTGTATATTTTTTGTTTGTTTTGTTTTTAATTTGCCAGAGGCTGCTGGCACTCCCCAGAGAGAGACAGAGAGAGGATGAGGAGGAAGCATCCTCTAATGTGGCATGGATATGCCACTATTCCGTCTTCATTTTTCTATTCTGTGGGATTTAAGACACATGCACACAAGCACTCCACATGTTCTTCAAGCCACTGGGGTTGTGGTCAGCCATTTTATCTCTGTACTTTAAAGTACACAGGTAAAATAAAATATTTTCAGGTAATAATAAATGCCAAATAAAAATCAGAATGATGACTGGAGTTTATTAGTGATGACTACTAAGGATGTTAAATAGATATTTCTTCAAGATATTAAAAAATATTACCTTGAGAAAGAACTTTGTTATGGGAGTGTTTTTATTTCCATCTTACTTAATATTTTTCATAATTTTATGTTTCATATCTCAGGCCTTAGATTGGGATAAGCTTTCTAGGAGTGGTTCAGTCATATATATAGTCTTTTTTTTCATTGCATAATGCAGTATATCTGAGATTAGAGATTGCAGTTTCCTAGTCTGATGATCTTAGCAACTAATGGCTCAATTTTTTTTCTCATAATTCACACAGCTTTCCCACCAGATAAGAAATAACTTGAGAAAGTACTAAGTGCTTTTTTTTTTTCTTTTTTGACATTTGTCTCTCTGGACATTTAGAGAAACACTTAAAATGACTGTTTACTTTTCTTCTAAAGAAATGAAAGAGAAAATAGTCTTAATATTTTCATAATATACCTAAAGTAAAATATCTAATTAATTTTTTACTTCTTTAAAATTTGTTGTTAGTCCCTAGATAAAGTAATAATGGAAATGAGTACATGTGAAGAACCACGTGCCCCTAATGGCCCATCACCAATTGCAACTGCTTCAGGACAAAGGTAAGCTACCAGTTAATTAATTGGTATGACTTTCAAAGGGGAGTCTTTTCTATAGTCTGTTCTGTTATCTGCAGTCAAAGGACATAAAATAAAATCCTGGGCCAAGCACATAGTACAGTGGTTAAGGGAACCATATTCCACATGGCCAACCACAGTTGGAGTCCTTGCCCTGGGGTTTGAAAAATCCACAAGGCTCATGTGCTTGTGGGGCCAAAATCCTGATAGGAAGGAGGAATGGGGGGAAAAGAATTGAGGGATTGAGGCATGACCATGCCTCATGGGGAGGGATACTTTCTCTCTCTGGCAGACACACATACCCTATGTCAATAAAAATAAATAAAAAAAACTAAAAAAAAAAAAAAATCCTTAGAATATTTTTTATAAAAAGGAAAGAAAAGAAAATGATGATGGACCAGCTAATGGCATGGTCATTAAGGTGACAGAATTCCACATGGCTAGCTACATGGTTCAATTCCCAGACCTGGCTGCTTGAAAAACAAGCTGGACAAGGGTGTGTGCATGCCTAGAATCTGTAGAGCAGAAGGGAGTGTAGCATGGCCATCCTCCCTTGCCGGGGAGGGTTGTTGCTTTCTCTCTTTATCTCCCTCTCTCTGTCTGTCTCTAGTAAGCAAGCAGACATTCTCTATAGCAAAATAAAAACAAAAAAAAAAAAGGGAGGGAAAAAGAAAATCAATCCTTTAACCTCAAATGCCCATCAAACATTTTACAGTTTTGAGTTATATACATTGAAAAAGTAGCAGATTAATTTGATTTTTAGCGTCTTTTATTCATCTTGTTTTCCCTGATGTTAAATAGTAACAATTTAGCCAAGACTAGAGTAGCAACAGAAAATGGAGGCAGAAGAGCAAAGGCATTCCATATATCAGATAGGTAGTCTCTTAGTTGCACAGTAGTTTTCTGCATTTCGTTTTGTATGCATCAATTTTATTCTAGTTGGAGTCTATAGCCTTCTTTGTGTTAAGAATTTACTTTATAGATGCCAATTGTCTGCACTAATGACTTCCAATTTTTAAAATTTTTACATTTTAAAAAGAGCATTTTTGTAACTTAAATGTAACCATACTAGATTTTTGTTTTAAGTTTATTTCTTCCATGATTGAGAGATATGGGTGGAGGTGGAAATGCACTCTTGGTAGGGTTCTGGTGCCAAGACCCACCCCCAGCCCTCTGCCAACTCTGGATCACGGTCACACAGGTGCCTGCATACTAAGGGAGGTAGGTCTCCAGAATGAGATAGAACTTTTCCGATGTTATATTATCTTACAGAACATTACTTTTTTTATCACTTCACCCTAGATTATTATTTTAGCAACAACAAAAACACAGATTTGTTCTTTATTTTTTAAGAAAAGGAATAATAAGGTATGGTAATTTCTATGTGTACTTTTATGAGAATATTAGCAGGTAACTTTTAATTTTTTTTTTCTGGCCTTATACCATTATGTTTTACTTTGCTTTGTTTTTCCAGTGAATATGGCTTTGCTGAAAAAGTAGTTGAGGGGATTACTGTTTCTGTAAGTTCCATTGTCATCAGAATCGGAGCAAAAGCCTTCAATGCATCCTTTGAACTTTCTCAGCTACGGATCTATAGTGTGAATGCCAACTGGGAACATGGAGATTTAAGATTTACTCGTATTCAGGATCCACAGAGAGGAGAGGTAAGGATGTTTTTGTTGTCCTTTTTTTTAAAAACAAAAAGTTTTATTGGGACTAGCAGTTAGCGTAATGGCTATGTTGCTAGACTCCCATGTAGTCAACTGCGGTTCGAGTCCCGGACCCAGTGGCTTAAACACATGCTGAGTGAGTGTGCATGCATGCCCAAGATCTGGAGAGGAGAATAGAGGAGAAGGGATTGTGGCATGGCCATAGCCCCTGGGGGTGATTTCTTGCTTTCTCTCTCTCTGTCTCTCTCTTTCTGGTGAGCACATGTGCCCTATAGCAAAAACGTCTCAAAAAAAAAATTATTTAGTGATAAATGAAAGACGACATCGGGACCAGCATATGGCATAGTGGTTAAAGCTCTGGACTCCCACATAGTCGACTATGGTTTGAGTCTTGGGTCCCAGCGGCTTGAATCTTATGCCGGTTTGTGTGTGTGTGTGTGTGTGTGTGTGTGTGTGTGTGTGTGTGCCCAAAAATCCCAAGGGGAGAAGGGGGAAGAAGGGATTGCAGTGTGGTCATCCTCTCTTGGGGAGATGATTTCTCGCTTTCTGTCTCTGCCTATCTCTTGTTTCTTCAGTGAGTGCATGCGCCCTGTAGTAGAAATCTCTCTAAAAAGAAAAAAAAAAAAGAATGAAAGCGGATGTGTATTATAAAATGGTTGCATCTTAATGGTTGTCCAGATTCATGTACTACTGGATTTATTTTTCTTGTCATTTATTTAATTTTTTTAGTTTAAAACATTTTAGTTTAAAAAAATTAAATAAGCGAGGCAGGCACGCTTACCAGAGAGAGAGAACACAGAGAAAGACAGAGAGAGAGGGAAAGTGAGAAAACACTTCCTGGGGAGGACTGCCATGCCGCAGTACCTTCTCTGTTCTCTCCGAATTTTGCGTATTAGGCACATGCACTCATTGGGTCTTTTAAGCTGCCAGGTCTGGCACTCTGCAGAGTTGGCCTTATGGGATCCAGCTGCCTTAACTTCTCCACCACTTGCTGGACCCCTTCTTGTTTTGTGACTCAGTTTTCTTTGTATTACTCTCAATTGTTTAATTATAAAATGTGATTATTTTAATGTTTTTACTCTTATCTTTCAATTTATACAATGAGCTCTATTTTAATTTCTCAGTGACTCAGAATTGAATTTTAAATTTATAGAACTAAAATATCTTATTTAAATGATTCACATGACTCGAATAGTCTGTACTTTATATTAGTTAATTAGGATAAATTATTTGATTAATTATATTTGTTAAAGTACTTAGGATAAAATATTAGAAGTTTTACAAATGATGAGTATAATTATGAAGATATATTACTAAATTTGATGGAAGTATACAATTTTAAAATGTATGAGATAAATCTAGAATGCCTTGTGAAAATTAATTGAGAGGTTGTGTTTGGTTTGTTTTTACAAATTTACATTTTTCTCATTCTATTTTGCATGAGAAAATGAAGCTAATTTCTGTGTTCTCCTCAGGTTTTGACATTTAAAGAAATAAATTGGCAGATGATACGAATAGAGGCAGATGCTACCCAAAGTTCCCATCTTGAAATTATGTGCGCTCCTGTTCGATTAATAACCAACCAATCAAAAATCAGAGTCACACTTAAAAGAAGAGTAAGTGAACAGAATTACCTTTTTGATTCATGTTAAACTTTTGGATTTAACAGGAAAAATTAAGTAAATTTTAGGTGAGTTATTAGTATGCTACCAGTGACCTATTAAAATGATAGAAAATAAAGGGAGATATAGTTTCTCCCACAGTATTTGTATAAACTCAGTGGAATTATAACTTTCCTCAGTTTTTAGAGTTAATATTTAGGTTTTCAAAATATTTATTTTTGATAAATTGAAAAGATTTCTCAGTTGCCAAATTTGTTGCATATTTATTGTTCTAGACTTTCACTTTTAAAACAAATTTTTCCTTGGGAACCAGCAGTTAGCGTAATGGCTATGTCGCTGGACTCCCACGTAGTCGACCGCGGTTCGTGTCCCGGACCCGGTGGCTTAAAACTCACGCCGGGCGCATGTGTGTGTGTGCCCAAGATCCCGAGAGGAGAATGGAGGAGAAGGGATTGCGGCGTGACCATCCTCCCTGGGGGGTGATTTCTCGCTTTCTGTCTCTATGTCTCTCTCTGTCTGTCTGGCGAGCGCATGCGCCCTACAATGAAAATCTCTCAAAAAAAAAAAAAAAAAACAGATTTTTCCTTAATCATGATGGAACCCATGCACATGAGAATGAGTGAGAGAGAGAGAGAGAGAGAAAGAGAGGAGCAATCTGATCGTGTGGCCATGATCCTCTTTTTCTAGTTATGCACCCTGTTGGGTCCTGGGCACTCTTGAATGTACCTGGTATGTTTCAGGCTGACTAGTTTAGAGATTTGAACCTGGATTGCCTTGTGGAATCTGGCTTCTCTGGAGCACTGCATTACCACAGTGTCACAAAGCCAGTCCAATTTATAATTCATTTCGTGTATTTAATTTTGCTCAGGAGTAGATAAACAAAATGTTTATTATCAATGACAAAAACTATTAGTGTTATAGATTATTAAGATATGACTGATAATTTAGATAAGTATGGAAGATAGTTACTTAAAGTTATCACAAGTTAAGATCTATCATGGTGGGGCCGGCAGGTGGCGTGGTGGTTAAAGGCGCTGGACTCCCACATGGCTGACCGTGGTTCAAGTCCTGAATCTGGTGACTTGCTTTCTCACTTTCCCTCTCTCTCTCTGTGTCTGTATGATCAAACTGGAAAGTAACAATAATAATAAATAAAGTTAAAATAAAATAATTATAAAAAAAAAAAAAGGATCTATCATGGCTTTTGATGAAATTTAATGAGGAAACAATGGCTTTCAACTCTGAGTGATACCTTTTGTATTACCCAGTACAAGTAACTACTCAGTTGAATTAAAAATTTTTATTCGAGTACGATGCTTAACACATATATTTTGAAATGTACAATATAGATTCTTTTATTTTATTTTGCTGTTGAGCACATGTGCTCACCAGTTGGAGGGGAGAGAGAGAGAAAGAGAAAAAAAATAGGGAAAATGAGAAAGCACCTCCCAAGAGCATGGCTGTTGTATAGTCCTTTTTCCTCTGTTCTCCTTTTGGGATTTTCGGACGTGCATGCACATATGTTCAGCGAGTTTTTCAAGCTGCTGAATTTAGAACCCAAACTGTGCAGTCAGCAATGTAGGATCCATCCACCTTAACTGCCATGCCACTGGCTGAGTCAGTATTTTTATTTTTAATTTTTTAAAGTTTATTTTTTTATTTCATGAGAGAGAGAGAGACAATATCCCCAACAAAGTCTCACAGTATGATCCTCCTTACTGCCTTGCCAGCTGGCCAGGATCACATGCTTGTGCTCACCTAGCACATACAAGTTGACTCAGAAACTGGATCCCAACTTCCATGGCTTCTAGCATTGCAGAGTATTGTGCAGCCACTGTGTCACCATTGCCTGGGCCTTAATGAATTTTCATACCTCTGTCTCAACTAGAATTAGTTGAATTACTACAAAAAAACTAAATTATTGGGAACAGCAGGTGGCATAATGGCTATGTCAGTGAACTCCCATATAGGTGACCAGGGCTCGAGTTCCAGATGCAGTGGCTTAAACTCATGCCTGGTGCATGTGCATTCATTTCCAAGATCCTGAGAGGAGAATGGAGGAGAAGGGATTGTGGCATGGCCATCCCCCCAGGGGGTGATTTCTCGCTTTCTGTCTCTCTGTCTGTCTCTGTCTTTCTGGTGAGTGCACGTACCCTATGGCAAAAACCTCTCAAAAAATTAAATTATTTATCAACTATAAATGAAATGATTTAAGTGCTATATAACATACTCATTGAGGTATAGGCATTTGTTAGTCTTGTTACCACTGTATCTCTAGGACTAGGAAATATTCATTCCATATTATTGAACTTAATAGATATTTAGGATTCATATTCTACTAAAAAACTTTTTAAAAGCTTATTCAGTATAAATGCATTATATTTTTGGCTTAATTTTATAAATCATTTCTTTTTTATGACAGTTAAAGGACTGCAATGTTATAGCAACAAAGTTAATTCTGATATTGGATGACTTATTATGGGTTTTAACGGATTCTCAGTTAAAGGCTATGGTACAATATGCAAAATCTCTCAGTGAAGCAATAGAAAAATCAACAGAACAAAGGAAGAGTATGGCTCCTGAACCTACACAGGTATACTATAAAGTTAACAGAAAAAAGATTTATATGTAATTAGTTTGATAGAAATATTATTTGATCTTTTCTTTATGTGAAATAGATTTTAAGACTTTGAATCCAAGAATTTTTAAAAGAATTATTTATTAACTTTTATTTATTATTATTTTATTTGACCAGAGAGAGACACAGGGAGAGAGAGAGGTAGGGGGAAAGAGAGAAAGCAAGCCTCCAGGTCCGGGAGTCGAACCGTGGTTGGCTATGTGGGAGTCCAGTGCCTCAATCACCACACCACCTGCTGACCCCCAAGAATTTTCTTAATCTAGATACTTTACTATATAATTTCATATATATGGTACTTACTTGAAAACATATTAAGTGTATCAGTATCTGTCTATATAGTGCTTATTCACTTTAGAACTCTTTAGGAGGCACTAAGGTTGATGATGGTAAAGTATTTGATGTTATAATACCTTTTATGAGGAAGTTAAAAAAAATACAATTTTAGGGCTGGCCGGTGGTGGCATAGTGGTTGAAGTGGCTGGATCCCACATGGCTGATAGCATGGATCAATTCCAGACCTGATGCCTTAAAAAACACATCAAGTGCGTTTTCATCTGTGCCCCAAATCCCAAGAGCAGAATGTGCTTGTGTAAAGATGTCAGACTGGTTCTCCCTCTCCATAATGACTCTTACTACACTTTACAAGCATAAAGCATTCTTCTTACTCTGGGTCAGAAGGGATTGCAGTGTCATCTCCCCTGGGGGCGGGGAGGTGGTTTCTCATTCTCTCTCTCTCTCTCTCTCTCTCTCTCTCTCGATCTCTCTGGCAAACACACACACCCCTAGCAAACCATAAAGGGAAAAGTATTTCCGAAGAGACAATAGAATCTGCAAAAGTGTGGACGTTATTTAAGTATTGTTATCTGATAAAGAGTTTAGTGTTAATTAGAGTAATGCCTTTAGGAGTGAGGTGCACTTGTCTCTAGGAATATATTACAACTTTCCAAGTTTTATGTTTTTAAAATTTTTAATTATTATTATTTTTTAATTTGCTGTAGAGTATATGTACTCAACAGAGAGAGAGAGAGAGAGATGGAAAAGTAAGCCACCTAGTCCAGGACTCAAACCACAGTTAACCATGTGGGAATCCAGCTCCTTAACCACCATGTCACCCTACTGGCCCCCAGGTTTTATGTTTTAAGGAAATTGAGTTCCAAAGTTTCTTTTCCTTCTTAAATTTGATCTGCCTAAGAATGTGCTTGTGTTAAGATGTCATACTGGTTCTCCCTCTCCGTAATTACTCTTATTACACTTTACAAGCATAAGGCATTCTTCTTACTCAGGGTTAGACTCATTATGATGGTGTCTTTAGTCTGTTTTCTGCTGTTATAATAGAATACCATAGACTGAGTACTTTATAAAGATCAGAAGTTTATTTGGCCCATAATTGTGAAGTCTGTAAAGTCCAGGAACATGGTGTGGGCATCTGGTGAAGACCTTCTTGGTGCATTAGCCTGCAGCAGAAGAGCAAGTGAGCACACATGACAGAGGAAACTGGACATTAGGAGCCTGTTTCATTAGGAGCCCATTCCTGTAGTAACCAATCTGCTCCCATGATAAAGACATTAATCCATTTCGAGGGCACAGTTCTCTTGACTTAGTCACGTCTTAAATGTCACACTTATTTTACTTTTTCCCTTTGGTTTAGTCTTTATTTTTTTGCATGAAAGAGACAGAGAATGAGAGAGAGAGAGAAAGAGAGAGGGGCTCCCCAGAAAGGTCTTTACACTGCAATTCACTCCTAGACTCAGCCAGCCTGGATCATGGGCACACACACATTGTATGTATGGGGGTTCGTGGGACACAAAACCAGTAGTTCCCATGTGATCCAGTAGTTCAGTGTTCCTTTGTTCAGCTTTACAACTTTTCTACCATCTTCTATGATAAACATTTATTTAGCTCTGTCTTACCTTCTTTAAGTAGAAAGAAGAGTATGTTGAAAATTAAGAGATGTTAAGGTTATTTATGAAGCAGAAGAGATTTTTTTTCTAGAAACAACATAAAAACCACAGTATTAAGAAAAAGGTTGCGGAACCAGCAGGTGGTGTGGTGGCAGGGTGATGGACTACCACATGGCTGACTGCAGTTCGTGTCCTGGACCTGGGGACTTGCTTTCTCACTTTCTCTCTCCCTCTTTCTCTCACTCTCTTGCTCTTTCACTCTTTATCTCTCTGAACAAATTAGAATAAATAAAGTTAAATAAAAAAATAATTCTTAAAAAAAAGGTGGCTAAGAAGGTTAGTGTTTATTTTATTTGTATCAGTATTTATCTTGATAGAGAAGAAAGAAAACGAGATTAAAGAAGTGCTGCAGTGTTTTAAAATAACATTGCCATAGACAAATAGTAATCGACTATAGCTTTGAAAGTATTGATGGGAAAAACATGAGAAAAAGTGATTTTTCAGTGGAAATCCACTTATTTTAATAATTAAAAACTTTTCCATTGAGCCCTTCATATTTAAAGTTTCCAGCATATTTTTTATCTTTCCTTTACTTTAATTATTATGGGCACCAATCATTTTCACTAGGATATTCTTATTTACTAACTATATTTTAAAACTATTCTATAGTATGACCATAATTCTTTTTTCTCTTTAAATATTATAATTTATGATTTGCAGATAGTCATTATACATCTTTGTAGGGTACAGAATGCTTTCTTTTTCTTTTTTTGATAGAGATTTTTGCTATAGGATGTTTGCACTTGCTGCAGAGACAGAGTCAGAAAATAAGAAATCACCCCCTGGGGGGATGACCATGCCACAGTCCTCTTTCCTTCATTCTCCTCTTGGGATTTTGGGCACGTGCACAAACACTCCTGGTGTGAGTTTTAAGCTACTGGGTGTGGGACTCAAACTGCAGTCAGTTACGTGGAATGCCATTATGCCATCTGCTGGTCCCTAGAATTGTCTTTAAAAGCATGTATATATGGGACCAGCAGGTGGCGTGGTGGTTAAGGCGCTGGACACTCCCACATGGCTGACCAGGGTTCAAGTCCTGAATCTGGTGGCTTGCTTTCTCATTTCCTCTCTCTCTCACTCTCACCCTCTGTCTCTCTCTGGTCAAACTAAAAAATAAATGAATGAATAAATAAAATAAAATAAAAAATTAAAAAAATAAATAAAAGCATGTATATGGTGTGCAGTAAACAAATTAAGAATATAAGGATATCCATCACCTTCAACATTTAACATTATATTATAATGATATTATGTTGTGAACATTTGTATTCTACTCCAGTGAATATTCTTCAAGTTTGTACTGAATTGTCTATGGTATTCTTTAGTGTAATAAAGACATTAATCCCTTTCGAGGGCACAGTTCTCTTGACTTAGTCACGTCTTAAATGTCACACTTATTTTACTTTTTCCCTTTGGTTTAGTCTTTATTTTTTTGCATGAAAGAGACAGAGAATGAGAGAGAGAGAGAAAGAGAGAGGGGCTCCCCAGAAAGGTCTTTACACTGCAATTCACTCCTAGACTCAGCCAGCCTGGATCATGGGCACACACACATTGTATGTATGGGGGTTCGTGGGACACAAAACCAGTAGTTCCCATGTGATCCAGTAGTTCAGTGTTCCTTTGTTCAGCTTTACAACTTTTCTACCATCTTCTATGATAAACATTTATTTAGCTCTGTCTTACCTTCTTTAAGTAGAAAGAAGAGTATGTTGAAAATTAAGAGATGTTAAGGTTATTTATGAAGCAGAAGAGATTTTTTTTCTAGAAACAACATAAAAACCACAGTATTAAGAAAAAGGTTGCGGAACCAGCAGGTGGTGTGGTGGCAGGGTGATGGACTACCACATGGCTGACTGCAGTTCGTGTCCTGGACCTGGGGACTTGCTTTCTCACTTTCTCTCTCCCTCTTTCTCTCACTCTCTTGCTCTTTCACTCTTTATCTCTCTGAACAAATTAGAATAAATAAAGTTAAATAAAAAAATAATTCTTAAAAAAAAGGTGGCTAAGAAGGTTAGTGTTTATTTTATTTGTATCAGTATTTATCTTGATAGAGAAGAAAGAAAACGAGATTAAAGAAGTGCTGCAGTGTTTTAAAATAACATTGCCATAGACAAATAGTAATCGACTATAGCTTTGAAAGTATTGATGGGAAAAACATGAGAAAAAGTGATTTTTCAGTGGAAATCCACTTATTTTAATAATTAAAAACTTTTCCATTGAGCCCTTCATATTTAAAGTTTCCAGCATATTTTTTATCTTTCCTTTACTTTAATTATTATGGGCACCAATCATTTTCACTAGGATATTCTTATTTACTAACTATATTTTAAAACTATTCTATAGTATGACCATAATTCTTTTTTCTCTTTAAATATTATAATTTATGATTTGCAGATAGTCATTATACATCTTTGTAGGGTACAGAATGCTTTCTTTTTCTTTTTTTGATAGAGATTTTTGCTATAGGATGTTTGCACTTGCTGCAGAGACAGAGTCAGAAAATAAGAAATCACCCCCTGGGGGGATGACCATGCCACAGTCCTCTTTCCTTCATTCTCCTCTTGGGATTTTGGGCACGTGCACAAACACTCCTGGTGTGAGTTTTAAGCTACTGGGTGTGGGACTCAAACTGCAGTCAGTTACGTGGAATGCCATTATGCCATCTGCTGGTCCCTAGAATTGTCTTTAAAAGCATGTATATATGGGACCAGCAGGTGGCGTGGTGGTTAAGGCGCTGGACACTCCCACATGGCTGACCAGGGTTCAAGTCCTGAATCTGGTGGCTTGCTTTCTCATTTCCTCTCTCTCTCACTCTCACCCTCTGTCTCTCTCTGGTCAAACTAAAAAATAAATGAATGAATAAATAAAATAAAATAAAAAATTAAAAAAATAAATAAAAGCATGTATATGGTGTGCAGTAAACAAATTAAGAATATAAGGATATCCATCACCTTCAACATTTAACATTATATTATAATGATATTATGTTGTGAA